TATCACCAGCTCCAGAAGAGAGCCTGGTACATAGCAAGTGTGCAATAAACATCTGCAGAATGAACGAATAAATGAGTGAGCGAATGAAGTGCCCTCAGTAGGAGGACACCTCGTACTTGGTGGGTGGGTCTCTTTTTAGAAGCGACCAAGTCATAAGTCCCTCAGAAGAAAAGTTGGTAAATTACAGGGGCCAATCAAATCAGACACACCATTTCTTATTTTCAAAATTGAGGCCTGTTTACAAAGCAATACAGCAAGTTTTCTTAAGGTTCTCCCACACCAGCCCGATTTACATGTTGTAAGTTTGTCCTACAAGCTGGGTGGCCTTGAAAGTCCCAGAGCCTCAGGTCCCTTCCTCACAGCCACACCTCCCCCATCAGCACTTTCCTTTTGCCACCACTTAACGGCTTTCCAAGCAGTTTCTTGCCTGTTTGCTTGATTGATTTTCACAAGCGCTATAAAGAAAGCTAGATAGTATGATTTCTTACCACTTATTTACAAATGATAAGTCAGCTGATCATTCCTTTTGAAAAGTAATTAATGACAAGGCCAGGACTGGAGCCTTTCTCTCCACCATCTACCGAATGTCTTATCCGACACATCATGTGGTTATCCAAGGATTCACTGGCAGTTTTACAGTTTCTAGTTTTTCTGGGTATGCATATTCTTTAAGAGCACTTGACGGGTTGCCTGCATTTTCAGTCTTTCTGGACCGCCGTCTTCTCCTCTATAAACTGGGAGAAGAGAACTAAATAATCTCCAACATCCCTTCTACAGCTAAAACCATATGGGTCTCTGAAACCCGGCTGTACACGCACCAAAGGCAGAAGCCTCGGGTTTTATTTCCTTTGCATCTCTCCTGCAGCATTTCACACACAGAGTACTTAAAGGAGTTTGGCTGGCTTTGCCTTGCAGAAGAAGGGAACTGAGATGTCCCTGGCCCTCACTGAGCCCAGTTATGCACACGCATGTGCACACACGCACACACACCCCACCAGCTTCTCTAGGAAGGAAAAGGAGATAGGAGATAGAGAAGAACCATGGAGAGCAGAGGCGGCAGATGGAGGCATTCCTCCCAAGAGGAAAGTTCCCAGGAGACAGGGAGGTAGGAAAAAGAGAGTGGAGACACTGAAGCTGGCTGGGCCAAAGCTGCTCAGAGGATCCACATCTCAGATTTCATCTTCATGAAATATTCAGTGAGTGCATCCCAGAGCTCCCATGGGTGGCAGAGGCTGCTCTTCCTGGGCATTTCTCTCTGCATTGGGATCCTGGGTCCACATGTCCCTGTGCCTCTCCTGTTCCACCACCCTCATCTTGTTTTTCTCGTAGTGTTGCTGGCACTGGGTCTCTGTGCTTTGCTCCCTTCTAACTCTCCATCTGCCTCCCCAGTGGTCTTTCTCAGCATCTGTCCACCCTCTCACTTCTATGCCTACCTCTCTCTCTGCCACTGTCACCCCACCCAAGGGTGAGGATGCTCCCCTTTGAGGGCACCCCAGTGACATGGGCTTCCATAGCTGTCTTCTGCTGTGCCCTCCACAGTGCCACATGCCTGAGCACGGAGAACCCTCAGGACTGCGGGAATGAGAAGCCCTGTGCAAAAGAAGAGCTAGACCCACCAGGATGCCAAGATGGTAGGGGCTGGGGTAGAGTTGAGGAGTGGGGAACAGAAAAACAGCTCTGGGGGAAGATGCTGGCTTTATGAGACACCTGGGCTGGGCTAGGGCTCAGAAGCTCCCTAATGGGAGAAGAGCACTGTCAGGGGTCCACTTGGGCCCCTGTGGGATCGTGGGTGACCCACAGCTCCTGGAAACTAAGTCTTAGTCCTAATTACTGCTTGGCTGTCCCCTGACAGGTAGTCTCTGTCCCAACTCACCACCTGCTCCCTGTCCCCCGGGAACTTTCCTCTCCGGAGCAGGACCCCACAACGCCTCCTTCTGCCACCTCTGCCCTCCCGGGTTCTTCAACCCCTGGCCCGGCCAGGATGCCTGTTTCCCCTGTGGCTCAGAGGCCACCCAGCCGGAGAAGGGCAAGGACACGTGTGTCTGCCGGGGGCCTGGGCGAGTGTTCCAGGTATGTCCTCTGGCAGGGGGGCCCAAGGACAAGCTGCATTTCCAGGACTGTTTTGGTATTAAGTCAAACTCAGCTCAGGTGTAACATGACCAGGGTTGGCTCAGGTTTCCAAGTGACTTGGCATAGGGTTGCCAGATAAAATACAGGGCACCCAGTTAAACTTGAATTTCAGATAAATAACAAACTTTTTTTTAGTATTGCATGGGACATACTTATACCAAAAAAAAAAAAAAATCTTTGTGTATCTAAAATTCAAATTTAACTGGGTGCCCTGTGTTTTCATTTGCTAAATCTGGCTCCCCTTCTCCAAGAAAATGACACACTTTACGTGGTTCTTTGCCACGATCACTTCCAAAACACATCCTGGCCCAAGCCCCTCCAACTTGAACGTTCTCTGTAAGCCAACAAATGTGTGTGTGAATTCTTCCTTTGCTGAATGTCTCAAGTCTCTTTTTTTATTGAAATGGTAACGCCGGCCACACCCTTACCTGAACAGGCTGGTCTCCTTCCCCTGACTCCTCCCCTGCCCTGTTTATTGCTCATTTCCCCTCCCCTGCCCTTGTCTTCTGGCCCATTTCCAAAAGGGTCACAGCCAAAAACCTGTGCATGGTTCACCACAACCAAGTATTAACCAACCAACATGAACCAGCACTCCTCCCTCCCCCCGCCACCCCCAGCCCAGTGACAGTCAGTGCCCCTGCCTCCCTGGCCACCGAGACGTTGGAGAGCCAGTGGGCTGTGTCCAGTGGGAACACAGGAGCTGCAAGGACGGAGCCACCTGGAACCAGGAGGGACTATGTTTGACCAAGGCTCAGTGGAATGACCACTGTGCCCATGAGGTAGGAGAATGCCCATCTATTATGCCCTTGGCCTCTTGCCCCTCCACCCTCCCATTCAAATGCCCACCCTTCCCGCCACTGGGATCATTCCATTGGCTCCTCTCTGGAAATATAGAGGTCAGTACTTTGCACTCTCAGGCAGTTCGTAAAAGCAGCTGGAGAGAATGAGGAAGACCTTCCCCAGGGAGGTGTCTCCAAGAAGTGTGAGTCTTTGTGCAGGTGTGTGCCACACCAGGAGATGCCCATGGACATGACCCAAGCCTGGGGCTCTGCCTGTGCTGGAGACAACAGTCAAGCGGAATGTGCAGCCCTCTATGCCCAGAGAGACAGAGACACATCTTGCAGCTCAGCTGCACTGATGATCCCACAGATTTCTGTCACTGAAGGCATGGGGAGCCAGGTACAGTACTCTGAGGTCCAACCTCATGCAGAGCCCGGGACTGTGACTTCTGTCTCCAAAGAGGGAACATGCAGGATGTGCGTGTGTGCAGGGCCCAGGGGCTGCTGCTTCCTGGCCCACATCACTGGCACAACCTCTCCAACATCAGAGGCTCAGAACCAGAGCAAGGCCCCTTTGTTGATTTCATTTCATCCTACAAAACTCCTTGAAGAAGAGGTCATTGTTTCTTGAAAGAGGAGGGACACTGTCCAAGAGGTCATGACTCCAGGCTGTCCCTGTTCCGTGGAGTTCTTGGAACTATTCCCACTCCCACCTCCCCTGTGTCCTTTCAGGACACTCAGACACAGCTCATGGGAGGGGCTGTTTTCACCCTCCCTTCCTACTGGGCAAGTGTGTGACTCTGTCTCTTGAGGGAAGATCTGACACTGGCTCTTTTTGTTTCCAGGATTTTTACCTTCTGGACCGGCCTTCCCCACCACGTGCTGTGGGCCATCCCTGCAACTTGGACCTAGGGCAGAAGTCTGTCCCCCTCTATGTGGTCAAGATGGATGGTAAGAGAGCTGGACAGATGGAGGCCACAGGGAGGCCTGCAGCTCGGGACCACACACATGCAACCCTTGTCCTTAACAGGGCGTGTGTCTGTCTTTACCAGGGCGTGTGACCAGAAGCTAGGGTTTGATGGGGCAACCACTACCCCAGGGAGGGCTTCCCAAGAAGTGCATGCAAATTCTGACCCCTCTCAATTTTTCAGAAAGTTGAAGCTAACATGTGCAAACCAGGCTGAACAGCTGCTGATTGTATACATGCTCTTAGGAAAACTCTTATCCCGGTCCCTGCAGGGTCAGAGGGATCCCTGCCTTGTTCTAGGGCTTGGCTTCCTGGGCCTGACCAGACCAGGTGGTGAGCTACTACACTCCCTAGGCCTTCCCCTCGGGGATCCCAGGCGTCCAGACCAGGATCCAGGTGGGCATCGCAGCTCACCTATTGCCCCTCCTATCCCTCCCCTACCCTTCCCAGGTCCCAGCACTAACCCATCTGAAGAGTGGCGGCTCTCCCTCATTCTCTGAATCTTACCTAGGAAAGTCTAGGGAAGGACATCTGGCCTCTTCTTGGTCATTGAGCCTCAACTCCACACATCTTGAGGATCTGCTGCCCCCAGAGCCAGGCATCCGAAACCCCACAGTCTGCCTCCGAGCCAATGATACCCTGGCCTTCCTGGTGACTCATGAGCATTACCCAGAGTATGACCTGTGAGTGTCCAGAGACCACAGCCCCATCATCACGGAGGCCCTAGAGAGGAAATGCCCCGGCATCAGCTGCCATTCCCAAAGGCAACATATTCCCTCCTTTCTCTCTCCCCAGTGGTCATTTCTATAACACACTGGAGCAATTTGACTGGGGGCGCTTCCGGGCCCTGGCTGAGGAGTCCCAGCTCTATGA